GAAGAAAAGCAAGGTTCTGTAGTTTCCAGTATTCTATACCAAAGCCAGCTGACTGAAAATATACAAAAGGCAACAATCATAGACGCATTAATTTAAAATTTACCACAAGAAAAAGTATGTGTGTGCATGAGAGGGAGAACAATAGGCAACATAGACTTTACTTACAGTTTGGGCATCCCAGCTCCGTGAGCTAGTAGTCTTCATGGACAAAAAATTCAAATTAGGCATTCGTTTGAGAAGAGAGGCCACAGCTGGAACAAGGTCATCATTCAAGCTCGTAAAATGCACAGTCAAGTTACAAATATTATCTAATATTGGTACTGCCGTGGAACCATCCTTGAAAATAGCCTGCATGTTTTTCAAGAAAAAATCATAGTTAGAAAGAGGAAAATAACCTATGTTTTCACTTTTTTTTTTGTTCTTTCAAATGATTCAAATTGCAAAAGGTCTGAAGGATAGATTTTTATTACCTTAATGGTCCTCTCGTTTATAATAAGATCTTTTGCCGAGCATATACTGCAAAGAACCTTGTCAAGTTCATTTACTTGAGAGTCTAAAAAAAGCTGAACTTTTTCCAAACTCATTAGTTTTCCCAGATTTGGGCTATACCTCCCATTGCTGCTCTTCCAGTTCAAGTTTTTAAGATTTGGAGCAAAAATCTTCAGCGAATTGCAGCTTATTTCTGGATAGCCATGAAACCATAGACACATATCTATCCCTTCAAGCTTCTCACCAGAGATATTCACATGCAAGATGTCACTTTGAATGAAACCATAAAAGTATTCCAAAGACGAACTTTCAATGGTGATATTTCGTATCCCTTGAATATGAACGAGCTCTAACTGCTTAATGCATTTGCAGCAACATGTGATCCATTTGAAAAACCTCTCGTCTTCTATTTTAACTAATACCAGTTTCAAGTAACGGAGATTACTGGAAATTGATGGAGACGGCGTTTTGAAAATTTCCATACTCAAACGCACTGATAAAGAGCGCAAAGATTGAGGAAGAAAGGGTGGCAACGAAAACGAGGGCACACCAGAAATACAAAGATCAAGCTCTTCAACATTACACCTTAGTGCATTATGAATCCACGTAATTACTCGAAAATAATCCTGCGTTGGTCTTCTGGTTAAATAGAAATTCCAATCCATGCAGAAGCGCTGCATCCTGTTATCACCACGACATAACAAGTATCTTTCCATAGAACGCATCAGCCTCAGATTATGCAGGTAGTTTTCCAGCTGGCCCAGCCAATGCCAATGTGAACGAAAATCTACTACCGGAACTGATAGATGTAATTGTCCGCATCTTTTCGAGACCGCACCCACTCGAGTGAGGTCTTTGAAAGTGAGCAAGGAAAGGATATGATGAGCAACTTCATCTGGAAGATCACTGAATCTGTCTGACGTCGCACTTTCTGAACAATTTCCTTGAGCTTCACAGCTTGCAGATGCCCCCAACAACTTACGCTTGCGCCCCATAGACTGTTGTTGAGGACGGTGTTGGAGCTACAAGATATTTCCTTCTTCTGCAACAACTTATCATAACCTAATCAGCGGCAATTTCACCTTCTGTGAGTCCTCATTAAAGCATATTTGTACGTATTTCTATTGAAGCACAATTCAAACTATCTACCTGTTTTAGTCCTCATTAAATAAGGTGTCTTCGTTAAATAAGGTTATATCCATGATTGGTCCACTAGAAATCCTCATCAAATAAGGTTACAATCATGATTGATGTTACCAATCCGACGTTTAGGATCTTTCATCTCTCCTCATTCAACATTTTTTTTATAACAGAAATCAAGAAATTATTCATAAGACCGATAAACTCGATATAAAACCCAACTGAAATTCGGGGCCAAACATAATTAAATAAAAAACAAAAGTAAAAAATTCATAAGAAAAAACTAAAATAATTGGGGGTATATTCAATTGAGATTTTAATAGACTATTTTGGGATAAATATGTCTTGTGGTATTCAATTAAGACTTTTAAATAATCTAAACAAGTCTTGTGGTATTCCATAGACTATTACCCTTCATTTGAATGAAGGAATTGAAAATTATATAGATATTTAAAAGGGAGTTTCACTAAAACACCCAAAATAGGAGCTTAAATTATAAAAAAACCCAAGCACTATTTAAACATATAAACACACTCAAAATCCATCATTACACACACTCAAAATTCATTTATAAACACACCCAAAAAGTTGACTTTGGGATTAATTTTGGGTGTGTTTCTATGTTTAAATAGTACTTGGGTTTTTCTATAAATACATGTCTAGAATTGGGTTTATTTATAAATTTGTATATTTTTTAAAATGATGGAATTTAGAATTCCATCATTTCAATTTCTCACAATTGAAGATTTCAGTGTTTGGATTTATATATATCGAATTTTGTAAATGACACTATGGAAATTGTGAAATGAAGCCTATTTTTGTTGAAATTAAACTAGGGAATGTGATGCCCCAATTTCCACGATTTTTTCCGAGCGTAATTTAATAAATTTCTTGCTTAAGTTGCCATACAAGGGATTTCAAAACTGGGTTTCTTGAGAAGAAAAAACTAAAGTTGATTTCTCCTTCTCTCATGATTAAATTTAAAACTTTCTTTTTTTAATTTTTTATTTTGGGTTAAGGAGTGTCGGAAGTGCGGTTGATTTTTTTCTTTTTTTCTTTGTAAAATGATATCTTCCTCTGTTTTTTTCCTTCCCCAAATTATTAAATTTGTATGCCTTGCAAGACAATTTAGGTTTGAGTAAAGCAAATTGCAAGGAGATATTATCTGAAAAATATAGTAGAAATGCCCTGTCAAAGTACCATGAAGTTTAATAATCGAAGCCTGAGTTTTATACCACGAGTCGATCCTTACACGTATCTTCATTTTAATTTTTGACTGGTGCAAATTAAGGATACACATAAAGTTTTCTGAAAATATCAAAGATTCTTCTATCTACTCCGAATGATAATTGTGGCAGTGGAAATCATCTTCCTCCTACTCACCATCTCTGCTACAACTTTTGATTGCTTTTTTTCATAATGATGAAGAATGACCATTTTCTTCAAATTTTGAGCATTCTCCAGGATAAACCTTGCAAATTGGATTTCATTAGACCCGTGGGAATACTCTATGGTTACTTCGTTAAGCTGAAGAAGGAAAGCAAGGTTTTGCAGTTTCCAGTATTCCATACCAATGCCACTTGACTGAAAATATACAAAAGGCGATAACCATACAAGCAAATTAATTTGAATTTACCAATAAATAAATAACTTGCCAATTTAGCACATGAAAAGTATATATATATGTGTGTGTGTGTGTGTGTGTGTTGATGAGAGGGAGGAGATCAACAGGCAACATAGACTTCACTTTCTGTTTCTCCATCCAATATCCATTGGCTAGTAGTCTTTATGTACAAAATATTCAAATTAGGCATTCCTCAAAGAAGAGAGACCGCTGCTGGAACAAGGTCATCATTCAAGTTTTTCCTACAGTGCACACTCAATTTGCAAATATTATGTAATATTGGTGCTACCATGGGCCCTTCTTTGAACAAAGCCTGCATGATTGTCAACAAAAAATCTTAGTTTGGAAGAGGACATGAACCAAAACATCTTGTTTTTAAATGAAAGGTCCGAAGGGTAGATAGAGTAGAGTCGATTTTACCTGAATGGTCTCGTCGTTTATAGTAAGAACTTTTGCGCAGCATATTCTGCAAAGAACTTCATATACATTGTCAAAATCATTTACCCGAGGCTTTAAAAGGAGGTCAACATTTTCCAAACTCATCATTTGTTTTCCCACAATTTGGCTATTCTCCAAACGGCCTTTCCATTTCAAGTTTTTAAGATTTGGAGTAAAAATCTTCAATGACCTGCTGCCCCAAATCTTCAATGACCTGCTGCTTGTTTCTGGATAGCCATCACTCCATAGATGTATATCTATAGTTTCAAGCTTCTCGCCAGAGACATTAAGATGCACGAGGTCACGATAAATCCAACAATAAAAGTTTTCCAAAGACGAACTTCCAATGGTGATATTTTGTATCCCTACAATACAAGAAAGCTTTAACTTCTTAATGCATTTGCAACAACATGAGATCCATTCAAAAATTCTCTCGTCTACTATTTTAACATTCGCCAGTCCCAAGTAATGGAGATTATTTGAAATGGATAGAGACGGCGCTTCCAAAATCGGCATACCCAAATCCACTGATCGAGAGCGCAAATATTGAGAATGAAAGACGCAAGATGGCAACGAAAACGAATTAGCCACATGAAGGAAACAAAGATCAAGCTCTTCAACATTACACCTTACTGCGTTGTGAATCCACGTGATTACTCGAAAGTGATCATCAGAAAACTTCTTAGCAGTTTCACTTGAAAAGAAACTCCACGAAATGCAGAAGCGCTGCATCCTATTATCGCCACGGTAGAACAAGTATCTATCCAAAGAACTCATCAGCCTCCCCAGCTTCTGGTGCAGTGTTTTTCTTTCCCACCGCTCAATCGAGTGAGGTCGTTGAAAGAGAGTGAGGAAAGAACATGATGAGCAACTTCATCTGGAAGATTACTAAATCTGTCGCCTGTCACGCTTCCAGAACAAGTTCCTTGACCTTCACAACTTGCAGATGCCTGGAACTTACGGTTGAGCCCCATGATAGGGACAGTGTTATAATAACCACCAGCAATTTCTTCTTCGGCTCGAAATCAGTTTGATAGATGCATGAGTTGTGTATTTTTATTGATGCGCATAAGCTTCTGCATATATATTGGTCTTGATCTAGCTTGAAATACAATTCCAAACTCATTACCTGTTTTAATCCTCTAAAACTCCTCATTAAACAAGGTTAACTTAAATCCACGATTGGTCCACCTCAAATCCTTATTGAATATGGTTATATCACGATTGGCCTTTAGGATCTTTCCTTATTCAACATTCTTTAAGAAAACAGGAAACTGTTCATCTGACTCGTGACAAATTCGGGTCCAAATATAATTAAAAAAACAAAACATAATCCAAAAGTTCATAAGAAAAAACTTAAATAAAAAGCCTACTTGAGCCCATTTGCTCATTTGTTAACTGTTGCTAAAATCAGCCGGATACATTTTGATTACTAGTGATATTGACAATTAACTAAAAACTGAGCCAGGGAACAACATGTTCAGTGAGCCTTGGACCAAATAATAATAGTAACGAGTTCCATGGAGGAATAACAAATGGGAAATAACAAAGAATCTGCCTTCTATTCCGAATGATAACTGTGGCATTGGAAATCATATTGCTCCTTATCAACATCCCTACTAAAACTTTTGATTGTATTTTTTCATAATGAAGAAGGATGACCATTTTCTTCAAATTTTGAGCATTCTCGAGGATATACCTTGCAAACTGGATTTCATTAGACCCGTCGTCGGAATACTCTATGGTTACTTCGTTAAGCTGATGAAGGAAAGCAAGGTTTTGCCGTTTCCAGTATTCCATACCAAAGCCACTTGACTGAAAATTCACAAAAGACAATAAACATATTCAAGCAAATTAATTAATAAATAACTTGCCAAATTACCACAAGAAAAGTATGTGTGTGAATGAGAGGGAGATCAACATAGACTTCACTTACTGTCTTGCCATCCAACATCCATGTTCCAGCCTTTATGTACAAAGTATTCAAATTAGGCATTCCTCTTAGAAGAGAGACAACTATTGGAACCAGGTAATCATCCAATCTCGTACAGTGTATACTCAAGTTACAAAGATTATCAAATATTGGTGCTGCCCTGGAACATTCCTTGAAACACCCCTGCAAGTTCTTCAAGAAAAGAAAAGAAAAAATCCTAGTTAGAAAGAGGAAAATAACCTATATATGTTAATAACCACAAGTTCTGAAGCGTAGAGGAGAGTATGTTTTACCAGAATGGTCTCCTCGCTTATAATAAGAACTTTTGCGCAGCATATACTACAAAGAACCTCATATACATTGTCAAAGTCAAGAACCCGAGGAGCTAAAAAAAGCTTAACTTTTTCCAAACTCATGAGTTCTCCCAGATTTGGGCTATTCCTCAGAGTGCCTTTCCACTTCAAGTTTCTAAGATTTGGAGCAAAAATCTTCAATGAAGGGCTGCTTGTTGCTGGATAGCTTTCTTCAAACCATAAAAACATATCTATAGTTTCGAGCTTCTCACCAGATATATTAAGATGCAACAGGTCACGACTAATCCAAGCACGAAAGTGTTCCAAAGACGAACTTTCAATGCTGATATTTCTCACCCCTGTGATATTAAGAATCTGTAACTTCTTAATGCATTTGCAGCAACATGAGATCCATTTGAACAACCTCTCGTCTGCTATTTTAAGATTTATCAGTTCCAAGTATAGGATATTACTGGAAAAGGATAGAGACGGCACTTCCAAAATCTGCGTGTTCAAATCCACCGATAGAGAGCGCAAAGATTGAGAAAGAAAGACACAAGATGGCAACGAAAACGTATTGGCCAGACCACATATGCGAACATCAAGCTCTTCAACATTACACCTTACTGCCTTGTGAATCCACGTGATCACTCGAAAATGATCATCAGAATACTTGTTTGCTGTTTCGCTCGAACCGAAACTCCAAGAAACGCAGAAGCGCTGGATCCTATTATTGCCACGGTAGAACAAGTATCTATCCAAAGAATTCATCATCCCCACCTTATTCTGCTGGGTTCTTTTTATTCCCCTCCAAATTGCATCAAAATCCACCAGCGGAACCGATAGATAAAATTGTCTGCATCTTTTCGAGGCGGCACCCACTCGAGCGGCGTCGTTGAAAGTGAGAAAGGAAAGAATAATATGAGCAACGTCATCCGGAAGATTACTAAATCTGTCGTCTGTCACATTTTCAGAACAAGTTGCTTGATCTTCACAACTTGCAGATGCCGCCAGTAACTTATCCTTGTTCCTCATTACTGTTATCATAGCCAGCGGCAATTTTTCTATGCGAATAAGCCTTCTTTATATATTGGTCTTGACCTAGCTTGAAGCACCATTCAAACTAATTACATGTTTTAATCCACTAAAACTCCTCATTGGATAAGGTTCATATCCATGATTGGTCTACTAAAGAATCCTCATTATGAAGGGTTATATCTATGATTGGTGTTACCAAGCCTAATTAAATCTGAGTCATGACAAATTAGGGCCCAAACATGGGTAAAATAAAAAAATGCCCAATTTTTAATCTGTAGTTGGTGGCTTCTCATAACTCTAACTTGCTAAAATCAGCCGGATCATTCTGATTACTCGTAGTGATATTGACAATTATCTATAAAGTAAAACCTGAACCAGGGAGCGAAACAAATACTCAGAGAGCTTTGGACCAAATAATAACCGTAACGAGTTCCACAGAGGGGAAAAAAAAAGGGGGAAATTACAAAGAAGAAATGTTTTCTAGACTTGGCCACCACCATAGTCATCACGGGGTTCTCATGTTGCCAGTCCTACCCCTGTCCATCTCGACCGGTATCACCTTGATAAAACTGACGATTGAGCTGCGACATGTGAGGAGGGGGTGGAGGCGGCGGAGGAAGCGGCATGGGCTGTGATGCTAATATACCTTTGCCATCTCTTGGATCCATAGAATTTCCACCCTGCACTGCTTCCATTGCTTTGTTGGTCATATGCTGAGGATTGAAAGGCATACCCCCTGGATTCCGTCCGTATTCTCCTTGATAAAATGCAACTTGTCCTTGAGACTCTGAGGAGTTTGAGAAACCATCTGCAGTTCCTTGACCCCCTTGTGCAGCTTCAAAAGGAACACCGGCCTGTCCTGCATTCCAAGACTGTGGATAACTAGCAGCGAAA